TCAACCAAGTTAAATAATTCAAAAAATATTCTATTTGTATTGATGGAGAGACAGGGGCGTAGCGTGACTTGGCGGCGCCCCGTGTCAAAATTTGTTTGGGGCCCCCTCAAGAAGAATTTTTTTTTTTACAATATAAAATACATAACATTAAAAGAATATTCATTTATCATTCTAATTATTCATTTATATAATTTTCTTTAATTTTCTGAATTTTTCACAAATGATTCCAGATCTCACTCTTCTTGCCTTTTTTGAAAAACTGAATTATTGAATAATCTTATAATTTTATAAAGTTTCTGTTTCTAGGAACATACAGGTCTGGTATACATTTATGTCATAAAGTTTTTACGTAATTTTTATTTAGTTTTAATTTTAAAAATTTCTTTTAGCAGTTGCGATTGTAACTGGAAGAAGGACCAGGAATAAATGGTTACTGTTATTTCATTAGGAAAACTCGATGCAAGCAACCCTATTGCATTTCTTAAATTTCCTAGATTTTTGTATTCAAACTTATTTCTAGAACCATCAATATATACAATATTTCATGTTCGTACATATTTACAGTATTTCTTTGCAGTAATTTAACTGACAATTTTCCGGAAACGTTTATTAATTCTCGATTTCAAAAAGACAAATATTACTACTTTTACGTCGCTAAGATTTTGAAATCTTTGTTTGGTTTGTAAAAATACTATATCAAACAGCAATAGTACACATTAAAATAAAATTTTTGGTCAAAATTCTCTCATCTTGATTATCTCATCTTATTGATAACGTGATAACTCATCATAATAACCCTTCAATATCTTTATCTTTTGTTCTTTAAAATAGTTATTGCAATCCATCTTTTTTGCAAACTATTTGGACTTTTTTTAGCAAACTAATTCAATAAATTTTCATATCTTAATTTGCACAGTCTATTCAAAAGATTACTTAACAAATTACTAGTTTTTGTAAGACATTGCTGGCATGTTGTAAAGTTTCAGAAAATAACTAATAATTGGAAACAGTGAAGAAATTAATCTGAAAATGATTTAGATTTAGTTGATCATATTATCAAAATCTAATTATTAAACTGATGCATCATGCAGACAATACAACTAGTAACAGAAATAAATATAAAAATTAGAAATTTAACTATAAAAATTCCAATTTTCGATGAAGAATTTATAAACTGGATTAGTTTTATAGATTTGTTGACAAAAATATTAATTTATGGGATGTGCAAAAGCTTTACTAATTGAATTGATTACTAGAGCTTACAAGTTGAAGTTCAATACCTCTCGATAACAAAAGGAAATGCAAACTACGTTAAAATTATTAATTTTTTAAAAAAAATGTTGTTTTATTTTCTGTTATGCTCGTTGGGGGCCCCCCTGGCTCAGGGGCCCCATATTTTTGATACGGCTGATACGGCGGTAGTGGCTGATACGCCCCTGTGGAGAGACGTGCTTATTAGTTTTTGGCAAAGGCAGAACCAGCCGTTTCGAAAACACGTGGCAAAAACCTTTGAAAAGTAAAGTTATATAAAAATTTTCTTTTTCGATTTTTTTGTTTACTATAACTTGCCCTACGGGAAATAAAAAGTTCAAAATTGTCAAAAAATCAAAACAAAGTAAAATTTTAATTTTCAAAAATCTAATTTTTTTTTCAAAAAAAAAAAGAATTTAAAAAATTTTAACGCTTTTTTAAAAAGTTTTAATTTCTGATACTGAAAGTTTCCGCAATTTGCCTTAAGATACGATGCCATGCACCACTAGTTTTTCTATATTTATAATTTAATTTTAATTCTTTAAATTGTTATTATAAAATATAAATATATTATTCTTGAGAAAGAAAAAGTATTCGTTCTCATCTGTATCAAATATCACCAACACAAAAAAAAATATATCTGGATCACCGCCGTATATGAATGTTGGTGGAGACGCAGCTCATGAATTTCTTATCTCACGTCGCCCCACGTCGCTATGCATCTCTTGCTCCTATGTGCAAGAAATGTCAAATTGATATCACTATCGTACAATTATGATTTCGTACTTAAATATTTTTGTTGATTGCGTTCGTAACAGTTGATTGCGTAGTTTTATAAAATTATACACAAATGGATAATATAATTAGTAGTTTTAGTGCATTGCTCAGAACGTGTTTGTGTAATATGGGTTGCTGTTTTAGTTGCAAAGAGGAGAATTCCTCAAACGAAGGCGAAATCAATGAAAGAACGCATTTGTTAGTTGACCCAGTTAGCAATAATACTACGATACAGAGAGTAAACAGCGATGACTTTTTAAACCGTTATCCTAATTCAGTTCCGAAAAAAACTGATGAACAATCAGCACTCAATAGGATTTTACAAGAAACTGCGACAAATGTTATAGATGTTGCGGCGATGGACTCTCATACATTAGAACAGCACGATTATATGGACAGAATAAGACTTTACAATCAAAGAATGATGCAGGCTTGGAATAATATTCAAATATCACCTGTAGGACCTCATTGTTTGTTGATTGACATTAGTGCTCCTGAAAAAGTCCTTGGAACCAATCCAATTTCAGCTGCAGATCAACAGCTTATTAATGATGCGTCAGATAAAGCATTAGCCGCAATGAAGAAAATATTTGTTCAACACAAAGAAGATCTTGTCGTACCTTTTGGAATACCATGATATGGTTTTAATCGAATATTCTACAAGAACTAATGTGATATCTATGTAGATACATAAATTTTCTGATATATTTTAAAGAGTGACTGTTTAAATGAGCAAATTCAATTATGATTAAAATATCCATATTTAAATAGTTACTCTATCATAAATTATATATATATATATATATATATATATATATATATATATATATTTAAGACCCTTGTATATAAAATTGTTCATAAATATTTGAATCGTAATCAAAAAATCAGTTTCCATTATGATTATTTATATAATCTTGCAGAGCTTATATTGATATTATATATTAATTTTATTGATATGATGTTAATTTTATAACTTTAATTAATGCCATATTATGCCTTACTGATTATTTAGAATACTATTATAAAATCTGATTATTTAGAATTGTATTATGAGTGACTGATAATTAAATTATAATGACATTAAACAAAAAAATATTTTTACTAATGTAAAAGTTAATTATGAATATATATCTACATGCATATTTAGCCTATTTTATTAAAAATGCTACAACAAATGATGAATGCATTGAAATGCTTAAATGTTAAAGTAACGGTTCGGTTGTTATGTATTTTTAGATATAAAGATTGTTATAATAATCAAATATTCACTGTAATTGATAATATATATAAATATTTTCCATTTTTTTTTTCACCCTTAACAAGAAACTAAGTTATTTTATTAATTAAATATCTAATTAATGACATAAGTAATTTCAAATAATTTTGAATCCACACATAAGTAATATGTAAGTAATTTTATTATTAGAATAATACTAGAATACTAATATGATCTTCTAATTTTTAAGTATTATTGTTTAACTTTTCTTCCTAAAAGTAAGAAATAATTTTAAATAGTCAGTATTTAAAACGCGCCAAAATTTTGAACATTTTTATTTGAATTATCTGTATTCTTAGTATGGTAGCACTGCGGGCCGTAGAGCATAACATCAACATGACAACAATCAAAATAAATAAAAAGATGGCGGATTAAGCTTCATATTTATTTAGATTATGGCGTTAATAAATTGCTTGTGCACATATCAACATAATTGCATCAAATGTAAAAGTTAAAAAATGTATACCTTTTTTTAAATCATGATTTCGAACTTTTATAGTGAATAGTATATTTAATCTAAAGTGAATTTGAGGTTAAGCTTGGTTAACTTTATTTAACAAAATGTATTTAGTGTATATAAGATGATTTTTTTATTATAAGCTAAAGTTATATATTTTATCTGTTAGTTTAAGTTTTTTATGAGATTGTTTAGTTAAAAGTGTGAATGTTTTAGAATAAGTATTGCACAAACGTTCATAATGGAATTTACAGAGTCAAGTGATAAAACCGAAACCGATTCTCAAAATAAAGCTTCTCTTGGAACTAGGTTAAAATTAGTAGAATATGATGAATCTGATTCATCAAATGATTCTTCAAGTAATAAATCTAAAAATACAGCTATTTCACATGATAAGTTACCTGAAAATCTGGAATCAAAAGAAATAGTTCATAGCTCAGATAGTGAAAAATCAGGTGATGGTTTCAATACTTCTAAAGCCTTATCTGCTGATGATATTAATTTAATTATTATGGGTGGTTCAGCTCTACCCGATACTATAAATGATGATTTACTGAAAGATCCTCAATCTAGCACAGATGAAGGTAATAAAATTATTGAAGACAGTGGCAACGGACAAGATATCAAACAAGAAACAACAATCAATGATTCAGATAATAAAAATTTAAATGTTGTCGAATCTGAAACTCACATTAATACTGAACCTGAAACTATTTCTGGAACTGATGTTGGTAATGTAGATGATATTGTAACTGAATTAATACAAGTAACAGAAGTTGATATGAACAAGCTTCCGTTGGATGATGATATGCCTGAATCTTGTCAAGAAAGTGGACTACTGGAAATTAAAGCTGGTACTAGTCAAACGGTGGATACCGATGATGATATGGAGTTTTATGATTGTGAAACTCCTGTTCCAAGTAAAGATTTAGAAGTTGTTGAAGAAACACCAGAAATTGAAGAATCTACAGTGACAATTATAGACTCTATAAATGATGCAGAAATAACAGAAGCTCCAGAAATAGATGAATCTTTACCAGAAGCAATAGAAACTGTTGTTCTAAGTAAAGATTTAGAAATTGTTGAAGAAACATTAGAAATTGAAGAATCTTCAGTGACAATTACAGATTTTATGATTGATGCAGAAATGACAGAGACTCCAGAAATAGATGAATCTTCACCAGCTATTGAAACAATAGAAACTGAGCAGGTTACAGATATTAAAGATGATTCAGTATCTATTCTGGCAAATGAAGAATCCAAAAGTTTGCCTGCAGATGAGGAAATAACTTTAAAAATGGTTTCGAAAACTGAAGAAATGGCTATAGAAACGAACAAACAATTAATTGATGATATTGAATGTGAACAAACTGTGAACAATCCAGAAAGTATAGAGAATGTGGTAAGTGAGGCAACAGATATACTCGAGGTTGAATCATTAGTGAAACAGGCAGAAGTGCATGAACCTGTTAATACTGATCTAATTGAAAATGTAGAAGTAGAAGAAACTGTTGTAGAATCAGAAAATTTTAAATTAAATGATGATATGATTTCAAATACCACAGAAATTGATCATGCTCAAGCTGCTACAAGCATTGCAAACAATGTAAACGTTTTGGAAGTTGCAGAAACTATAGATTTAGATACATTATTGGTAAAAGACTTAGAAATAGAATTGGAAGAAACAGTAAAAGTAGAAGAAATGTTGAAAGAGGTAGAATTAACAGAAGTACCTGTAAAAGATATTGAAGTATCTGATAATAATGAGGAAGAAAGTGAAAAATCAATCAGTATTGAAAAATTATCTGAAGATATATTGACAAGTGACCAAATTACTACTGGACTGGAAGAAGATACAGAAAATGCTGAACTAATAAAACCTGCAGAAACTGTAGATATACTAATGGAAACTGAGGTAGTAGAAAGTATGGAAACTGTTGAGACTACTGACGAAACCAAAGACGCCCTAGCAGTTGATGATGTGAAAGAAAAAACCATAATAGAAAGCAGCCTTGATGTTCCTGTGTCTGAAGACTCTGAAGATAAATCTAATAAATTGGACACCGATATTCAAGAAGCTATCACAAATGAAATGCCTGAACAACTTATGGAAGTTTCAGAAGAGACATCTATTGATACAGATGTATCTGATGCCACGAGTACTGTGACACCAAGTACAATAAAATCAAATAAATCTAATAAACCCGTTTTAATCAAATGTTCTAATTTGTTAGATGAAAGTTTACAATCAGAATCAAGCATACTGGACACAAGTGTCATAGCAGATACTACAATTGAAAATGATTCGGATGAATTTGATAAAGTGGAAACAAAAATAGATGATCGTAAGGTAGAACCTTTAAAACTAAATCTATCACAAAAACCTAATTTAAAACGCCCTGCTGAAAGTGATTCACTTTCTATGATCACAAAAATTCAAAAACTTGCTGAGTCTGGCCTGACTGAAAATAGGGAGTGTGTGAAGACTGATAAAACTCCTAAAGTAACGATTAAACCAATTAGAAAACCTGTAGATGAAGAATCCAATATACCAAAATTAACTATTAAACCCGTAGTTGATACAGAGAAGCAGAAGGAGGAAGGCATACCACCACTTATTGACAAAGTTGAAACAGTACCAAAGCTTACAATAAAACCAATAGTAAAACCTGAAGCAGAGATTGTACCTAAATTAACTCTTAAAATACCTATAGATAATAAAGAACCTTCATCAGAATCAGACTCTGATGAAGTGAAATCTTCTAAAAATATTGTTCCAAAGCTAACTTTGAAGCTACCTGTTGAAGTAAGCAGCAAAGAAGTTACTTCTGAGTCTGAAACTGATGAATGTAAAATGTCTGATGAAGCACACACTGTTCCTAAGTTAATGCTTAAAATTCAGCATAAGCCTGAAGAAACTATAGCTGATCAAGTGTCTTCTACTCAAACGATACCTAAATTGACAATAAGAACCAGTGAAAAATCTGCTGAAGTAATATCAAAACTTATTGTTAATGTAAATCAACAGGCTACTTCTTCTACAGATGATGTGGTTCAACAAAAGGTACCTAAGTTAACTTTGAGATTAAATCCAGAAGATCAATCAATTGCGGATTCTACCGGCCAACTAAGTAAAGAAACTTCTGAATCAGAGTATGAAGATGAGCTTGTACAACACACTGTACCTCCTTTGACTATAAAACTATTGTCTGATAAAGAACAGGACAAACTTATTGAAAAGGAATCCATTCATCAAACAGTTCCTAAATTAATGATTAAATTACCTGCTGATAAGGAACAATTATCAGTAAAAAATAGTGATGTGCAGCAAACTGTTCCAAAAATAACAATAAAATTGCCTTCTGAAAAAGATGCAGATGATAATAAAGATGTATCAATAAAGACCTTTGAAAAAACGACTGAAGAAAAAACGACTCATCTGATTGTCCCAAAATTAACTATTAAAAAGTCATCTGAAAAAGATCAAGATGACCAAGATAAACCAATTGAAAAGCATGTTGTTCCAAAATTAACAATAAAATCAGTTCCTAAACCAGAAATAGAAACGGTTCCCAAATTGACTGTAAAACTATCTAGTACTGGTGAGCATCATATTGAGAATACTCATAACAATGAGGCAGTTCGATCAACAGCGAAGATAGGTGCTTTCGACTCTGTGCATCTTACTCCTAAAGTCACAATAAAACCTGTTGTTAAGTCTGAACAAGAAGTGCATCCAAAGGTGACAATATCTCCTATAAAAAGTGAAACAAAACCGACTTCTCGGGTTTTAATAAAACCATTGCCTGAGAAAGAAGTTCCCAAACTCACATTAAAACTTTCTTCTGATGTTTCACTGGATATTAAAACTGATGCACATCATTCAAAAGACATGCCTAAGTTTAATATTAAACCAATACCATCAGTACAAACTGAAGCAGATCCAACAAAGCCTTTGGAAATTGTGACTACTGATAAGGTAATGGAAAGCGGACAAGAATCACCTCGAATAATATTGAAAATTAATAAATCTGTGCAAGGTAACTCGACTTCAGAAATTTTATCACCTTCTACAGACTCTCAGTGCAAAAGTCCAAGTGTTGATAAAATAAAACTAAAGTTATCCAAAACGGGGCAGCATCCTCATATTGTTCACGGAGAACAGGATGTTAACACTGCTTCTATGAAACGTGCATTAATGAATCCTGATTTAGATATTATTGAAGTGAAACGCCCTTGTGTGGATTCTATATACTCTAGGTTGCCACCAGATGTGTCAATATCACCAATAAAACAACAGCAAGCATCACCAACAGTAAAGCAAACTGAGAAGCAGAAAAGTGAGAAAAGACTTAGGGACATTTTATCTAAACTACACCAAAAATCAACAGAACAACCAAGACAAGATTCACCACTTCCGTTACAAAGGGTTTTAATTGATGAAGCACATGACAACTCTAGCTCTTCTGGTGATTGTATTTTGATAGAGGATGATCCTATTGCAGATACTGGAAATAACCAATATCTTAAGTTTGGGAAAGATATTGAATTAATACGCATGGGTGAATCAATGGCACAGAATGTCGTGTCTCCTACTGTTACAACTCCTAACAGAGGAACCATGCCAAGGAAACGAGGAAGACCAAGAAAAGATGCTAACTTAATTGCGCAAAAGAAAGAACAACTTGCTCAAGAAATGCTACAAAACAGTCTCTTTCCAGCACAGCATATGCTTGAAGGTCTAATGACTGGATCTGGTGAAAGCCCAGTTAGAACAAGTCGTAGAAGTACCAGAGGACGGTGAGTTTGCTTTATTATTATTTCTAATTATCTATACATATACTACTTATAATTATGTCATTTGCCATATGGTATTTGCAAAAATAATTAATTTGTGAATAACTTTTTTTTAAATTTTAATTAAAATATGTATTAACTTGTTGAAGATGAATTTTATGTTTTTGCCAGAAAATCCGATTCGCTAATTTTATGCTTTCTTGATGTTTCAAGTGATTTGGAATCGTTCGAGGCCAATTCTGGAAAAAGTATGTGAGCGTAGTTGAGCCGACTTTTAACTTTCGTAGACTTATTTCCATTTTTTTTTTTTTTTGTTACAATTTATTTTTGTTAATCAAGACTTTAATGTTTTATTTACAAAATTGATATGAGCAAAAAAAAAATACATAAATACAAAAAAAAATGCAATAAATTGAATATAAAATGAAAAAAGTTAAAATAAAAATAAAATAAAAACAGTAATACAAAAATAATAACAAAAATGAACTATGACGTGATTATGTATGCCGCGTACTACGTCAGGGCGCGTGCAGACATTGGGCTAGGTGTTTGGTAGATCGGATGGCCATATCTTGCTCAATCTTCTTAACGGTCTGTGAATCGCTTGAATAGTAGGATTTGTATGCTGGATTAATTTATTGTTGAAAGATGAACTTCTAATCTTGATCATATTTCGTTGACTGTTGAGATTTTCAAATCCTTATGTAGGCAAAAGTTTGAAATATACCAAGGCGCATTAGTAAGGATACACAGAATTTTGTTCTGGCACCTTTGAATGATGTTTATGTTAGATTTGCAAGACAACCCCATAGTTCGGTTCCATAAGTCCAAATGGGCACTATGATAGTTTTGTACAGAAGTACCTTGTTATCGAGAGAGATTTCGGATTTCCTCCCAAAAAGCCAGTAAAAATCTTTTATTTTTATTCCCAATAACGACAAATTGATTTCAAAAATTTAAGAGACATTCAATGAATAAAAAAAATGTCTAAAATTCATCCCTAAATTGATATTGATTTCTTATTAATTAAGTCGACCATTTACACATGTGTAGTTCATGCAACTTGCCTTAAGGCAAAATTACACTTACTGATAATTATTCACACATCAACTCTGAATGTACAATTAATATATTGGTAAATCTTTAAGGTTTTAATTTTATATTTTAATTTAACTATTTTGCCATAAAAAACTATTCAAAACAAATATCTGACTTTTATGATACACTTTCATGCAATTAATCTTTTTTATTCGTATTGAATGTTTAATTATTTTTAATTGATATGCTTTATAAACTTAACATTTTTTTTAGATCATCAGTGGGTAAAGGAGGTATGATTTCTACCACACCAAGGGGGCGTGGCAGAGGCCGTGGCTCTAAACAGCAAGCTCTTCAGGTTTCAATGGAACAGCAGAGGATTCAACAAATGCTGAATATCCAGGACCAAATCATTCAGCAGCAAGCTTCGGGTGATAATGCACAGGTTGCATTGAAAAGTCCAGAATCATGGCAATCTCAAAATCAACAAAGTATGTTTTATTAATTTATTGTTTTGTATGTTTAATTATGCATATATATATATATATATATATATATATATATATATAATTTTAATAATTTTATTTTAATAATACCAACTACCTTGTTCAATAATATTTTACAAGAAATAACTTTTTAGTTAAACTCACGAGTTTTCAATTACAGTGTTTCTACAAAGTATATGATTTGGATTATAGATTTTCAAACTTTTTTGTGCCGTTGATCTCCTTTGCTTTGAAATGGACCCCTTTTTTACCCAATAGAGAATTTTTTAGAAAAATCTAACATCACTAATGTTCGGTCTTAAACATTCAAAGTAAAATTACAATTTTAGTATTACAAAAAGTTTATATATTTATTAATTGAATTTAAAATGACAAAATAAAGTAAGTAATAAGTAAATTAGACGGCATTTTTGTAAAATTTAATCTTACATCTCTGACTAATTATGTTCATACATCTATTTCTTGTTAGGAAATCGGTAATAACGCTTAACCCTCTTTTCTACTAGGTATTGTTTTACAGTTACCAAGCTGTATTTTAAATCTTTTTTTTGAGTATCCAAGAATACTATAAAGGTCCCGAAAAACGCTAAAAATCTTCACGAGCTTTATTTACTTTTTAGTTTATAGTAAATTTTATATTGTTCTTAGTATACTATAGTGTATACCTACGTCATTTTCATTTTGTGGCCTATATTTGACCTCACAATTTATTTTTTGTTGACGTGAACTTCTTGATGTATCATAGACTCCTTTGGGACTTTATGGACCACTTTGGGAATTACTAATTTATATGAATGCTGATTGTTTATTTGGGTGATGGGATTGATAATTTTGATTTCAACATTTTTTTCATTTTGATAAAAGAATCTGTTATTAAATATAAACATTATTTAATATATTTAATTATTTGATTATAAAAAATAATCAACATTGTAAAAAAGCGTCTTACTTGTACTAAACCACTGTTATTGATATTTATAATGTGAAAATAATCCGTAAGAAATTATCTTGTGACTTATAGAATTGGTATTTAGAAATGTAGTCTTTGTATATAAAATGTAGACTTACTGACAAATCAGATAATAATAGATAATAATTTAAATAAATTTTTAATGTTTTATGGATAATATAATTAATTTTATCATTTTATATAATTCAGGTGGAAATCTAGAATCATTTCAAGATAAGATTAAATCTTTGACGAAACAACATCAGGAAATGGTGTCAAATTCGGATCCTCTTCAAAATTTGCAAGCGATGACCAGTAATATACCCATTGATTTGACTGGAGCTGATGATAGTTCAGATGCTGTTATACCCTCAAGTGAGATATTTTAAGAATATGAGATATTCTCGTAGAAGACCTATCAACACTGATTTTATAACAATTCTATTTAATTAATACATTAGGTTTTTATAACAAACTGCACAAGAATTAAGCTTCAATTTAAATTTAATGCTTTGTATTTTGCTATTTAAATGGTGCTTATCAGTCACAGTAAATTTACAAATGTAAATAATTGTTATTTTACATGTGGAGAGATTTTTGCTATAGAACTGAAGGTTTAAACTTTAATCAAGTAATTTTTTTTAAATTTTGTTTATGAATTAGTCTTTATTTTTACTATTATTAATTAGATAAAATTATAATATTGTCTTCTATCAAATTTATTCCACATTCATATAAAAAAAAATCCTGTTTTATTTACTAACACTTATTCATTTCATCAGCTCCTAACCAAGTGACGACTCCTCAAGATTCTCAAAAAGAAATGGTTGAAAATATGGATACAAGTATATTATCTCCAGAAGGAATTTCTCCCTCATCCATTATGAAGACTCCAGGTTCAACAAGAGCGCCAACTAGAGGTAGAAGGGGAAGAGGATCCAGAGGAAGTCGAGGTTCTCCTAAAAAGAGAGGCAGCAGCTTGAAGGTAGGTTAATTGTTATAATAAGGCTTATGCACTGGTGTCACATCTTATTTATAATTAAATGTTCTTAAACTCTCATGACTTTGTATTTGGTTTAATCAAAGTACCAGAAGAAACTTTTAATTTACCAATTTTGCTTGTCACAACTTTGTATTTCTCAAATTAATGAAGATTGAGTTCCAAAACTTCAAGCAAATATGAGAGACTATATTATAAGAAAAATTTTGAAATAAATATTCACATTCAATTCAACATATTTGGATGGGTTTTTATTCCGAACCTTTCATTATAATCAGTTTTATACCATATTATTTCAAATTATCTAACTCAATTTCAGGAAAATCCACTTCCAATGTTTGAAGAGGATACAAGAATGAGTGCTGATCTTGGGAATAAAAGTACTCCTGGAATGCCTATAAAGTAAGTCTCTATATTGAGATTTATTAAATATATTTGTGTAGTTCATATTCATGTCTATAAAGAACTGAGTTAGAAATTTCAAATTACAACCGAAGCAGGAAAAACTGCGAGAGGTGCAAAATAATATTATTTTTGCTTTTCTTAACCTTTAGTAGGGTAATGCGGGGCTTAAAGGTCTGCGGGTAAAAAGGCTCTCCAATATTATTTCAAAAATTTGTATGATATAATATAGAATTGTATAATATAGAAAAGAACGAAGATGTGTAACCAGCCAAAAACTTAATTTGCGTTATCAGTAGATATATGGTTATACATCAATATTCACATCAAAAGTATTTTTTTTCGTTGGTAGTTTTTTTTTGGTTTTGAACAATTTTATTTAGTTTATGATAGTTGAATATAATTTTTAAGTATAAGGTATTTAATTGTTTTATACATTTTTAAGTTAGATATAACTTCTTTTTAATATAAATTTTGTAAAAGCTATGTGGTTGGGGTAAAACAAACCAACTGTATCTTTACACTGGCAAATGTGTAAACAATACGAAAATAGTAAATCAAAAAAGAAATAGAAATAATTTTGAGAAATAAATTAAATTAATAGTTATTCCAAATTTGCTGATGAATATTTCTAACAAAGTACCAGCCAAGGATGTATATAGTGTGAGCTTTGTAGAAATGTGTTTATGAAATTTTTATTTCGCTTTGGTTAAATAAAGTGGCTAATATTTTTTAAAATTTCTTTAAAATTAAAAATAAGTTATTGGGTCTTTTGCCTCCTGGTTGTTCCTTTTTTCCCCGTGAGCCATGACGAATTTTAGAAAAATAGTAAAATAACATTTTTATAATTAGGATCTAAATTTTTTTTAACATTGCTCGAGTTGTTTGATATGTGTTATGTGTAATTGGACCTCTGTACTCCGCCCTCACCCTGTATTTATTTAAATTGTGTGAAAAATAAGTGTGAATGATGATATATTGTTTATTTGAGAAGTGTAGTTTATTGATGTTTTTATTCATTATTCTTTGGAAGAAATACACTCTACTGAGCAACATGTTTTTGTTGCCATTTATCATTTCTTAAAACAATTTATAATTTACAACATTATGCCATTAGTGTGTAATCAATTAGATTAATTTTAAAGAAATCAGTTTATTTAATACATTTACATCTATCAGAAAACAATTTATATACACCAAAATACAATTCTTACTTTTAAGAATACAAAAATAAGCAATAAGTAAAAGTATAAAATCGATTTAGTTAAGATTGTTGTTTTTAAAATAATTTCTAGGATAACTTGAAAAATATACTATAATAATGCTTGGCATATTTTTTAACGTATAATGAGCATATCTAAAACTTCTTTCAATATTTTGCAAATATTTGTCGTGATTATATATTATTTTTATTAAAAATTTGAAATTATTTACATAATTACTTTCAGAAGTGGAGTTGGTGAAGGAGCAGATGAATCTCAAAGTTCAATGCACAGCTCAGCTAATGAAAACTCAAAATCCAAACGTGGAAGGATGGAAGTCGGAGATTCTGAAGGGTCAGTATACCATACTAATGGATTGTTATTGCCTTTGGCTTTTGGCGTAACTTATACATGTTCTTCCATCTTTTAAAAGCCCTATAAACAGCAATGGAGCTCCCACATATTCTTTTAGTAACTAGTATAAGTAGATTTTTGCAATCACATTGTTGCATTTTTATTTTATTATACCATTTATTTTTCAAACATATTCTAATTTGCAAGTATAAAATATATTTTGCTATATTATTATTTTGCTAGATACATAATTTTATCTACTTTTGCAGCAAGCTTGAGTTTACTGTTGATATGATAGCCGAATACCTATGGCCCCAGCCCGAAGTGGCTTCGCCTACTAGTACTGCTACTGTTAACCAGAACAACAACACTAATTCAGTTTCTAATAATACTTCTACTACAACTAATGGTACCTCAAATAGTTATGAAGAAAAATTGTTCCCTGAAATGTATATGATACAAGAACAAATAGCCTTATATCTTGGTGTTACGAGTTTTAAAAGAAAATATCCTGATGTGAGAAGAAGACAAGTTGAAATGAGGGAAAGAGATTATATTATGAGTAGAAATCTGGTTACTGAAACGTTGTGTGATTTGGGTTTAACTGCCATTCCTACATGTGAAGTGCTTGATATTATGTCTGCTGATTTTCCTCAGAAATATGATGAGTATAAAAAGTAAGCAGATATGATAAGCTTTTATGCTTTATGTAAAATATTGCTTTTAATTTACTTTCAGTTATTATTAATACTTTCATGCATTTTTTTCTAAAATGATATTCAGAACTTGAGTTTGACATAGACATTCATATTTGAAGTCAATTCTTATTTATTAAGAATAAAATGAAATAAAATTGTGTTTGTAATTTAAATTTTATATTTGAATTTACATTTGTCACTTTCCAGATATTTACGAGATAAACAAGCTAAAGAACTTGCTATAAAACAACGAGCAATGAACAATGATAGAAATAAACAAAGAAGTATAAAAGACCGCGCAATCAGTTCTGCTTCATCTTGGAACAGTAAATTTAATAAAGAGTAAGTTTAATTATTTTGTTGAATTGAAACATGCAGCTATTTTGCCATAAAATCTTATTGTAATTTTAATTTATAATAGCCGAATGGAGAATCGTAAAGGTGGTTGCTTAGATCTTCAAACATATGTTATACAGAAATCAAAATCGGTTCGAAGAGTGCAAAGTCCATCTAAAACAAAACCGGGTCATTATCCAGTTGCTTTAGTTCCTGGACAATTTTGTGACTACTACAAGAAATATTCACCCAATGAGCTTAGGTATTCTAATTTTGTAAATAATTGTTCATGGATATATTTTAAAGTGCTAAAACTTTGCACTTGTTACGTTTACTATGTGTTCTACTATGATTTTTTTACAGATATTTCCCATTGGATACTGTTTTGTATGGTCCACAGAAGCCTAACCAACAAACACTTCCAATTGTTGTTAACCAAGGTTCAGATAGTTCATCATCCAGTTCCAGTTCTAGTGGTTCAGATAGCGATTCAAGTTCTGATGATTCAGAGGTAATTGTTGTTATACTATGTAACACATAAAAACTATATTATACATAAAATTATAGTCTATAGAAAAAACTGACCTTAATTAACTTAATTATTTTATTCTTTTTAAAACTTTCAGTTAGATTTATTAAGACTTTATAAATATAACCTTTAATATAAATCAAGTGTCACATATATTTTTTACAATCAGTTTAATCAAACAAATTTAATATTTTCAAAATAACTATTTGATATATTTAAATCAATTTTTTATTTCATTATTTGATTATTTCAGGATGAAGATGGTCCTTCAAATTCTGATCGTTCATGCCGATTATGTAAAGTTTCAAAACCAGGTCAAGAATTTGTTCAATGCACTGGCTGTAAAGCGCATGGTAAGAGTTTTGAACCAATATAATAGTTATTTCTTCAATGTTATGGCATTTACTTCAAGTTATTAATACACTGAAATAAATAGTAAAAATGGATGTTCTGAGTAATTAAATTAATAATTTCATAGCCAGTTTTATGTCATATTTTTTAATTCTGGAACTTCAGAAAAAGTATTTTGAAATATATCAATTAGTAGGTTTTATTTTGGTATAATTTTGTACCTTAATGAACAATACTATTGCTATTTTTCTCATTTGCCTAATACAGCCTTTTTTTTTTTTTTTTAAATTTGTTTTCCGATATTCTGGTACAAAATGTATGTTACCAAATAGATAAAATTCTCTTACATACAAAAAAGTTTCATTTAATTAATTCGAATAGAGATGAGTCCAAAAATAACGTCATCTTTAAGGAACTTTTCAAGTAGTGGTAGTACATTTTATGTGTCACCACCATATTACAACCATTGTGATATAAATTGACACAATATATCATACATAAAACAATGAATGTTACAAAACAAACATTTTAAAAACAATTTTGCATTGTAATTTTGCTAAACAACATTAAATTAAATCACTTTGCGTGTTGTTATTAAATAACTATTTTAATTTTAAAAGATGCTATAAGTGTCGCCTATAGGTAACATCTGCCTGTGTATGAATATCGCCCTTGAACCCTTGCTTCAATATTAATGTCATTGTAATATTTAGATCTTTAAAAATGTAATTTATAATTTTTAAAAACATTTTTATTAATTGAAAACACTCCTGTAGAAAAAGAGTAAATGATGTATGCAAACTTTAAACATGTTTTTCAACAATTTTATTATATTGATTTGGGTTAAAATCTGAAAAATGAGACAGAAATTAAAAGAGATGTTTAGTTTTTGAGAAAATTTACTCAAAATTTAAGTTATTTGTACTATTGTTGTTAATATTTTTTCATAGTTCTTGTGTTATTATTTATCTTTTGCAGTCTTCTCATTTTCTGATGGTTGTAAACTAATTGTTTGAGCAGTATTATTTAATTATTTCTAGAAAATTTAATAAATGTTTTAAGATTTGTATAAGTTTGTATTCAAAATTTGAATGGAAAAATAAATTTAATAAATAGGCTCTTTAAAAATATAGGCAGTAAAAGTGTATTTAAAAATTCAAAATTACACTCCTAAAAGAACAAAATTACATTTCTAAAAATCTAAAAACCACAATACAATTTAGAATTTTCAATAATTTAAATCAGCGTGATAAATATTGAAGTAAAAGTCGTCAGGTCGTCAAATGGATGTCGTCCATAGACGACATTTGTAGCAAAAGGGTTAATAATAACTTTTTTATAATTTCATTATTTTTCTAACAAATGTTTTTATTATTCTTTTAGTGCATACTCTGTGCGCAGGATTACGATCGAGAGAATCTATTTTATTATCAAAATCTTATGCTTGGAGATGTATGGAGTGCAAACAGTGCTTGCAATGTTCTAAACCAATACAGGCAGCTGCCAATGGAGATAATTCCCTATCTAATGGATTGAATTCAAATCAAAAATCTCCAAATGTGTTGCGCTGCGAACGTTGTGATCGATGCGCCCATGTCGCCTGCATTGGCAATGGTAATTAATGTTTTTTTGTTTAACTATTATTAAATGTAACTTTGTTGCATTTTGCCTTAAGGTAAGTTGCATGACCCCGGCATTTGTAATCAATAGACTAATCAATATATGTTAATAATGATTTTGATAGAATATAAACACGCCGAATTGCTGTAGAGCAGCGTTTCTCAAAGATATTTCTTCAAGAAGAAGAATGAAAGACATTTCTTGAAGATCAAAATTTTTGTAGCGCCCGCTTACCAAATATTTCATACAATCTCTAAGAAACTTTTTTTTAAATTTTAATAATGTAGTTATAGTGTGCTATATTAGTTGGTGTAACCTTACATTCTAAATTAGAAAATTTTATCAGTGAAAGCAAATAAAAAGACAGTGTTTACTTTTAATAGAATTTAGTTTTTAAACTCTATATGAGATGGATGAATTTAACAGTTTTTAACAAGTTTGTTAGTATCAGGTTCCATTATACTTATAAACAGTCGTAAGTCACTGTTTGGTAATTTGCAACTGATTTCCGTTTTTAGTACATGGGAATGCTAGTAAATTTTTTTAATAACTGATCGTAAGCCAGTGTATAACTGTGAATTGACTTTTGTAGACAAAATTTGTTGATAACTATTTTTAAATTTGGTTTTCAATTGTTTGTTGTTGATTTGCAAGAAAATCTGTTTTACTAATTTTGTAGATAATGCTTGACACCTAAATTGGAGATATGTGTATGAATGCAGGCTTGTGAGTCAAAATTGAATCATTTTGACCCCATCAAAAAATGCTTTACAATTTCAAAAAGTCAAAAGTCATTAGCAGGTGAAGACTAAATACTTCGTTAACTTTCTCGCCCACAATTCTGTACTGATTTTGATAATGCAAAAATTTCGAAAACAGGACCGTTTTTTTTAATTACTTGTTAACAAGATTTTGTTAGTGATTTTAATGATACTCTACAAAGTGAGTTCATGATCTTAACGAACATCCTAAAATATTATAGGCCTACGAAAATTAGTTTAATTATAAAAATTCAATGAAGTTTGAAATAGTGGGTTGGTGCAGTTGAATATTGAGTTCAGTACATTATTATAAAATATTAATTATTTAAGGCAGAATTCCATGCACACATAGTTTGTACTTATTAATTAGTATTTGAAAAGATATATGATTATCACCTGAATGTAATAAACGCAAATAATTTTATATTTAGCCTTTGAGAAATGATTGATTGAATTTATGAAAGTTTTTTTTATGATGAAATTCAGTTTCATACAGTTTCACTGAAGTTTATATATCATACAAAAATTTCTTTTTATCAGGTTCTAATAGTTCAAGTTCTAAATGGTCTTGCACTTTATGCAGTACATGTGACTCGTGCAAATCACCTGATTCTGGTATAACAAATAATAGTACAAATGCAACTTCAATTAAGCAGTGGCGAAGGGTGGACACTCCGAGAGGTCCAAGGCAGTTGTGTCAGCCCTGTGCAGTGTAAGTTATATTATACATAAAAATTATAGCATAAAACAGTATTCTACACAAGTATATTATAAAATGCCAAAATCTTTTCAACTAAGTCCTATAACTTAACATTAAAATTAAACCACAAATCCTTTTTGAAGTATTTTTTTATTTAATTTGAAGTTTTTATTTCAATTTATTTGTTTGTTTTTGTCTGTTTGTCTTAAAATACATATGACATTATTTCAGAATGTGGCAAGAGAAACGATATTGTTCAATGTGCTATCTATGTGTTCTTGATAATCAGGCTTTCATGACTTGCAAGATTTGTACTCATAAAATGCATACAGGTAATTATAGTATATAATATAACAAATAGTAGAATAGGTAAACTGGTGGACAGGAAAATTGGTGGATATGTAAAAAAGTAGACAGAACAACTGATAGATAGACAAATATGTCAGCAGATAAACAAGTTTACAGGTAAATTGATAGATATGTAAAATGGATTGACAGGTAAATTGGTAGGCAGGTAAGATGGTAGATTGATAAACAGGTTGATAAGTGAATTGGTGGACAGGCAAATTGATAGACAGGTAAACTGATACTGATAAACAGGTTGACAGATATACTGGTGTACTGGTGGTGGTGGACTGGTAAATTGGTTGACAGGTGAACTGGTAGACAGGTAGAGAGGTAGACAGATAGTCATATAGACAGGCAGACTAAAAGTCAAGAAAACTGGTAGACTAGATGTAACAAATATGCATTTTTCTTAAAATTTTATTTGAAAGTAAACACGACGAAGCGTGAATGGGTACAGCTAGTTATTTATAATTAATCTTTTTACGCCAAAATTAGTATTACTCTAATGATATATGAATATATATATATATATATATATATATATATATATAAAGTAATAAACTAGTTATTAACATTATTTAGCAAATTATTTAGAATAATACATTATTTAGCAGGTAATTTATATATAATTTATATTAATTTTCAGGTTGCATTCGAACTCAATTTCCCAATATGACAGGTAACGAAATTGTTACATGTTTGGAATGTTCAAAAAAGCCACAAAATTTCCCTAAGGTCGTCAGTAATTCTATAAATTTGACTCACCACCAGCAACAAATTGTTACAACTACATGCTAAAATTTGATTTTGTTCAATTAGCATTGATATACTACACAAAAGTAAGTTTTATATTTAAAATACATATATAAATTATAGATCTGGTTATTTAAAAAGTTAAAAGTATAATCAAATTCTTTTGCTTGAATTTGGTATTTTTAAACATGTGTACTATGTCAACATTTTATTAATGATTAGATATCCATTGTTTATTAAAATAATGGTATCTAAATTAAAATTAACTGAAAGATGAGTTCATGATTACTTTTATTGTTAAAAATTATTTTTACATATAGTTTGTGAGCTAGATTTTATTGTGTGTATTATATAGTTTTATATATGGTAATAAAGTATATTGGTAATAATGATATAACACTCAATGAAATAATAGTAATAAAGATTCAAATATTATTTTTTTTAATTAACTATATTCATCAATCTGTTTATTCTAAAACATTAACCAGAGACGGCTAGCATATATTTGAGAAAATAATATTGATTATTATATTAATTAATATTGAAATTAGTGGATACACCCAGTGTCTACTAGGGATATATGAAATATAAGAAAAATAATAAAAACAAAAAAGAAAGAAGAAAAAAAAGTACCTATATAAAATAAAAATAGTAAATGAAAAGTAATAATTAAATAAATAGTTACTAAATAAATAATAAGAATAAATTCAACTCGACTGAATGAGGTCTGCAGGTAGTTTATGTTTTAATCTGGTGAGCTGGCTTTCTAGGTACACTTGACTCGCTAATTTGATTAAAAAATTTACAGCCAATTCGTTTGGTTGGACATGTATTTTATTTTTATATTTATTAGCAAACAAAATTGCTAAGATTTTTGAGAACCATTTTTTTGCATATTATTTTATTCAAATGTTATTAGTTTATAATATTGTGTTGTGTGTTTATAACTGAATATTGTAGATTATTTGTAACTTCTTCCGAAATTGTTTTGTTTCCGACTTTTTTACAGAAAGTGTTCTCGTCTTGAAGTAATTTTGAATCGTTTGAAAAAATTGTAAAAGGTACGTGTGTCGACTGAAATTTGACTTTAACTCGCCATTTCATCAAAAACGTCCGGATTGATTAGTTAGTTCGATCTTGATGAACATTTAAAAACTCTTCATAAGATATCAGTTGGGAATCGTGCTGATTAGTTTTTAGTAAAGATCAGTTGAGCCTCTATAATTGTTGGAAAGTTGTTGAAAAAATGTGAAAACTGTTAATATTTTTGACATGTTTGAAATGAGTGAATAACCATGGATGTTTTATTTTTATCAAATATTCAAAGATATCTATCCATAGATTTTTAATAACATGGATATCTGTGGATTTTTAAACAAAGTTTTTGACTTTTTATTTTTATCAAATATACCGAGATATCTTCTGTCTGTGGATTGTTAAACAAAGTTTTTGCCGTTTTATTTTTATCAAATATTTAAAGATATCTGTCTGTGGATTTTTAAACAAAGTTTTTGTCTTTTTATTTTTATCAAATATTCAGAGATATATATCCATGGATTGTTAAACAAAGTTTTTGCCGTTTTAAATTTATCAAATATTCAAGAATATATCTATCCATGGATTTTGAAATTTAAATGCCATCTCGTACAATAGCAAAAAAGTTTCACTTCAATTGTGTGTGAACCTTACGCACATTCTTTTTTTATGTCTTTTGCAACTTTAAAATAATTTGTTTAATATAAATAAAATATTTGAGAAATCTGTACAATAATGAATAATACTTATTATATTTGCAATGCGTTACAAATGTGAATTAAAGTTAGTGGTTTGAATTATATTTTATAACATTTGTATCTATATTTTGTCAAAATTCAAATTTAAAATTGGCGCTTCCTATGGCGCTACTGTTCATTGATCGAAAACGACCTGTCAGAACTTGTAGAAGGCGTTTGAGTTCTTTCTTTTACGGGATTCCATTGGAAACACATGGCCAAAAAATAAAATCTCTTTAAGAAGTGAGTGCCTTCAAAATAATGTTGTTAGTTGTGCAAGAAATATTTTGCATTTGGTAATTTCCAAAGTGACGGTATTTGCAAACTTGACATACGTTTTGTGCAATTTGTAGACGCGTCTAGAAATGGATAAATGGAGCCTCGAAAATGGAAAAAATGGCAGTCACGAGCGTCTAATCGAGTGACATTTGAAAGGTAAGATAATAGGCTTTAGTGTACATTTTTATTATATTCCATCAGATAATTTCCATCGTCGATTTTTCCAAATTTTTGTCGTCTTTATTAACAATAAGTTTTATTGGCTTGTGCTGACTTTTGCTTGTGATTTTGTAGCTATTCAATTTTGGTGTATCGATTTCCAATTCCGATTTTTGTTTCTTTTATTACTAGTTTCAACAGTCAGATTACAATATAACCTAGTATTAGTATTAACAATATAACCTAGTATTAGTTTGGGTATTGGGTATTGAAAATAAAGGAGGTAGTAAAGGAAATAGAATTAAATTAAAATTTGCACTTTCTATGCAAAACACCCAACATTATGTTGTGGATGGTAGATCACTGAGCCATTTTGCCTTCAGGTACTTCGGCTGTTTGCATTTAGGGATTGACATATGCATCCAATTTGTCTTGAAAAATTAACTTTCTGTTTTTAATGATTTCTATTAGGAATTTTTAGGTCCTTGTAGATCAAACCATTGAGCGCTGCACATGATTCTTAGTATTTTGTTATAAGAATATTGCTCTTGCTGGCACAGCCCCATGGCTCTATCCCGTGTATTGATATTGCAATTATCAAGGAGCTTATTTTTTAACCACTTAACGGTTAAAGAGTTCGGACTTTTTTCTTATGAGCCAGTTCAGATTCTTCAGTTTTAAATCTATCTATTCCTTTTTCGCATTATTATGTGCATTTTCCTATTTAGCTTACTATCTATATATATTTATTAGATATTTTAAATAAGCATAAATAGATCGCTATCTCGGGCCATTTGACGTTACACTCATTTTAAATTACGAATAGATCACTACATGGCAGCACATGTACATACAGTATGTAAATTAACCCCTGGTATTACTTCTACATTTGTACATAAAATCAATACAGCCCAAAAATCTGAAAAAAATTATTATTTGAAATAAAAACAAAACATACGAAATACAAAATATATTTTCAAATATATCACAGACATATTTTTGAAGAATTATAAACTAAACAGAAATAACTGACTACTATTATATAAAGTATATTACAGACATATTTTTAAAGTACTTATTCTATTAATATTCTAGAAATAACTTATTCATATTAATTACTTAATGACTAATAATAATATATTAAAAACTTAAAAACTAAGAAGTAAAAAGCGCAGGAGTATTGATGATGGAATGACAAATTTAGAAGGAATGACAAGTAATGCAATAATTTAAGGGATAAAAAGAACAGCACATTTTTAAAAAACAATGAATACTTTCCAAACAAAATAATCCTAAAAACAAAATATATATATATTGATATCCAAATTGAGATAAAACTAAATTCCTAGGATTAAAATTCATTTACAAGACGTTCTTGTTTGTTATCTCTCCATTTAATAGTTATTTTGCTATCTAATCAATCATTAATAAAGTTATATTTGACGAAATCTTTGAATAGTTTCTGTATAAGTGTTTTTTTAAACGTAAGTAACCAAAACCCTGAACTACTTTCAATTTATACCAATTGTAGCTCAAATCTATCTATCGTTTTAATCCAGTTTTTATTGCAAGGAGGTTTAGTTAAAACTATAACTAAACCCTTGCGCTTTATAAACTGTCTGGTCTTTGAGTATGCTCTCTTAATTGAGACATTATCAAAACTCATCTTGCCCTTACATTTTAAGTTTCCGGAATATTTGAAAACTTTGAAAACATTGTATACTCTGTTGGAATTTATCCTTTAAATTATTGCATTGCATTTTAATCCCGAAACAAAATTTGATGTATGATACATCTTCTGGGTGTTAAGGCACTCCTATGCCTTATCATTGCATTCTGCGGCAATTTGCAGCTACCATCAAGGACTTCTATTGAATATATTGTTATATCATATTAATTGAATATATTGTAATTATCATATTAAATATTTTTGCTGCAATTAGTATGAAAAAATACCTTTTCGGAAAACTGGTGTCAGAATAGGTGACTTTTAACCTGCACTTCACAATCTTATAGGTGCTGCAAAAATCTTTTTCAAGGTGTTTAGGCTTCCATCTCCTAAGAACATAAGATTCATTTATTATTTTTTTGAAAATGTTATTGAAGCATTTAGAGTTATAATTACTTGGCTTTGTCCTTGGAGTTGCAGATTTTTCTTCTGGTTCTGTATCAGAGCATTCTCCAGTAACTTGAAAACTATTCTGTTATTGCCGTAAAGGAGACACTTCTATTTGGTTTCGATTTCAAATTATCGTTGATTTGTGCCACAAACCGAAGAGTTAGGTCATCCATTAAAAGATTATTCGCCCTCTGCATCCAAATTGAAAGCATCTTTTTACACACAAATTTTACACACAAATTATAATAATTATATAATATATATATATATATATATATATATATATAACATTTTAATAGTATTGTGATGATACATATTCATTATATGCATAATACATCATTATGTACATACCTGATAATTAGATGCCGGAAAGACATGCATTTTTTTTTATTATATTTGGGGTTATAACAATTTGGCACATAACACTTTATCATTTCAACTTAATAATAAATGAAAAAAGTATTTACCAAAACATAATTATATATAAACAATCATAGAAAATCTCAACTACAATACGCGATGACAACTTGACAACTTATAGAAAATGGCCGATCAAATCAATGTAGATCAAGCCAGCTGCTAGATCAATGAAATTGGAAATCGTAGCGCCATCCTTCGATCTATTCGAATACCAATTCATTTCAGAACAAGGTAAACTACATTTGTTCGGAGATTACCGCATTTTAGTCAGCATCTGCAACATTTTCAGACAATTTTTAGATTTTTTACAACATTTCTAGAGTAACTATTTACAATATTCTTCTACATTTATATTTTCGAGCTATTTTTAACATTTTAGATTATTTAAAGCATGTTCTAACGATTTACAATATTCTCTGACTATTTAAAAATATTTTCTATTTTTTTTTAAACAATTTGACTCTTTTAAACAATTTTACTTTTTTCTTTTTTAAACAATTTCTGACTATTTTTTTTTTTTTCAAACAATTTTTGACTATTTTTGAACAATTTATAACATTTATATTTTCGGGCTATTTACAACCCTTTCAGACAATTTAAAGCATGTTCTGACAATTTTAAATATTTTCAGACTATTTTTTAAATATTTCTTAACACTTCCTACCGACATTTCATGTTTACGATTCCTACCGCGACCGGTCATGCAAAATCTATATTTTTCAGTATTGAATGAAGAGTTAATGCTAGTTTAAGAGTTTATAATACAAATACAAAATATTTCTTTTATTTTAGAATGCGAAATTAACATTTTATTCTGTTTTATCCAATTTTTTTTTACGATTTTTTTCTTAGAGTGTATTTCTGCACACGCATTTTTTACGTTTTGGCTGATTTTGTTCGCCTTATCATCTTTCTGAAACATTCTCTGGAATATTTTCTTTTAAGGAATCTGTTTTGTATTTGTACTTAGTTGATTTTTTTCTGAATTCTTGTTGGAACTATATGGGAAGTTAATTGGAATAGAAAGTTCCTGCCTTGTACATCGTCTTCCCGTAATTTCTTTATGTGAAAACAATGGATTTATCCTGAATAAATACAAAATAATGTAAATCCTTGATAAATTCTCTCTAAAATTCATATTTTACCGAATGATTTCTGCAGGCCCTTGTATCTCAGTGTAAAACCCGCGTTCACTAATCGTACTTAAAGTAACATAACCTAGGTGAAGATTTGGCGCTAGTGAGCCGATATCAAGTGACAGGTTTGTAATCTTCTAGCATCAAGCCGCCATTTTAATCTGCTGATTATTATTATATTGTCTAGGGATTTCTGACTACTTTATGAATGACATCTACACCAAACACGACGCTAATACCAATTGAATTGACTCCCGTATAGTGCAGTAAACGGAGCGTTTTAGGTCTGAATTTTTTTACTCTGCTCCGAATTGAATGAAATTTTGGAATTAGGTTTATCTTACCCTCAAGTTCAAAAGTGAAAACAATTCGGGTTGCGCCATAACCCCCGGGGGGATGACACCCCTTCTTAATTGTGTAATTACATTTTTTCAAAATAACATCGGAAATCGATAGAAGAACTAATTATAAGAAAAAATGTCTTATAGTTTTTCAAAGAATCTAATAGTTTTTAAGTTACTGGCCACTAAAGAATCATATATTTTTGGCGTTTTTCGTTTTTTGCAAATATCTCCTAAAATATACATTTTAACGAAAATCATGTAATGAACAAAATAATGTCAATAGAAATATTAATAAATCTGTATTACATAAAGTGTTCTAGAAAAAATATTAAGCAAGATTTGAAAGAGCAAAGTCGTTTTTTATTTCGTTCAAGATTTAATTGTTGTATTTAAAGCCATCTAGTGTCGAGGTTTTAAATTTTATGCATTTCGGTGAAATTGGGTTTTATAGTGCTCAACATAAGCTTTAAAATGAGTACTGTTATAAGTTTTTTGCGTGTAAAATGAGTGAGCTATCATGCAAATAAGAAGCATATACGAAATTTTTTCTTTTTAATCATGTGGTTTAATGAGCGCCATTTCCACCAGAATTAAAGTAATTCACATTCCATCTAGAATTCACTTCATTATGAAGATCTTGATGGATTCTACCAGATTCACTACTTTAGTACAAAATATTTTCAGAAAACTCACGATTTTATAAAAACTTTTTTTCCAATTTGCGCGGCCGCGCGCGCAGTCTTTAAACATTCATGACTCTGTCAATTTTTGTGTGAAAAAAAATCATAAAAAACAATAATAAGCCAGAAATCCGATTAATTTTTATATAGGCTTTTATACGTATCTTCTATTCTTTTGAGATAATATGAAAATTTCGATTTTTAAAAAAATTGAAAAAAAAAGTTTTTATAAAATCGTGAGTTTTTTTTTTGTTTTTTTTTTTTTTTTTTTTTTTTT